CCTGATTTTGTGTTTGAATAATGTTTACAATACAAATAACAGATTTATTTTTTAAAATAACGTATTTATCTTTTTCTTGTTTACAATTAATGTAATATAAATCATTTATAAATATTCTGTATTGGGCTATGGTTCCTGGTAACATGTTATCGAGCAAAGGACCAGATATGTGTTTACTTTTTAAGCATCTATTATTTATTCCAAAATTTGACTTTGAGTTAAAGTTATAGAAGCTAGCTTGCATTTCTCCGAACCGTCGTGCAACCTGTTGCAATGGTTTGTCAGATTTGCAAAGAATATTTTTTAGAATTTGTAAATAATTTTCAAAACGGAATGAGCTAAATTCATCTAAAGCGCCAAAATTTCGAACATCAGTACTCAAATGCAAAAGATTATGAATATTGTGAGTTACATATTCTGGGCCATATATTTGTTCAAAGGACTTAACAAAATGATTTAAAAGTTTCTCGGCATATGCAATTTTGTTTTCATTTTGAACAAACTTTGGAGTTATTAGTATGGAACATGCTACATGTAACGTTAAAAAATTTATATAAATGTCATTGCGTAACATGCCTTTTAAAACAGCAGGTCCGGTGGGGATTTTTACAACAATCCCAGATTTGGGATTGTTGTAAAAATCGTTTCACCTTTATGATAGTCAAGATCTTTCCGATCAAGAAAATCTTGATTAGTCCGAAGCGAACTGGCAGATTGCTCATATGTAAAACGGACACTATCGTTAATATATTTACCATGAATTGTGCACTTCGAACAGCTGGAATATCCACTGTGGCCTTTTGTATATAATATTAAAGATTTGGCAGGTGCGTCACATACGATAGCATAAATTGAAATCTTTGTTGTCAGCTGCTGATTCAAAGTAATAAATTCATTAACAAATGTTTGTAAAAAATCGTTTGCATTATTTGGATGTTCTTTGCCAAAGTAACAACCTACCATATATACGCGTTTCAAAATACTTTCAGAAATTAAAATAGGCCAAAACGCAGCTTTCGAAGATTTAGACAAAGGCAAGCCGTCTACGTTTAAAATTAACTTTATATTTACAACAGAAAGGTTTAATTTTACATACTCACTTGTTATGTGTTCGACTATATTATTAAGACCGTAATGCCAATACGTTCCTCCTGCTACACTAACTATGTTTGTTTTTCGGGGTGTTTTTAAAAGCGTTCTTGGATCTTTCGGTAAAAATGACAACTGGATTACATACTTTATAAGAACATTCAAAAGGGCAGCTAAAGCATTTAAAGGGATTTTATATTTGATCGCCCAATGTTTTATTTCATTAAGAAAATTAATTTTACTATTATTGTCTACTTCTACTTGATTTATCTTCGACGGAATATTATTGGCAGCAATATTGGTTGTGGAATGAGTGTCATCATCATCCTCATGGCTTTCATCGTTATCTTTATCAATTTCTCCATAAGAATCGTAGCTGACATCCGAGTAATAAACATCATGATCATTGTTATCTTCAAAAGCCTCAGAATTTAATTGCTCATCTTGAATATCGAAGGAATTATTACTTCTTTCTGTAGATATCTCTTCTTCTGACACAGTTGCTTCGTATTCATTTATTTCTTCAGCATTATAAACTGCAGTCTCACTGATATTTGATTCATTAATGAAATTTAACCTATCATCTATATCATCTGCAATGCACATTGCCAAATCACTTCTTGTTTGCCGTTCAACAATTCGACGACGCTGTCTTTTTGAATATGATAATTTTCGTTTCGGCGGCATTTATATTTTATATTATTAATTCAACTGAGTAATTTATTGCAAATTAATAATACGAGCACGAAATAAGACACGACGAATACAACCTCAGTAGCTGAATGAGGCGATCGAGACTCAGCTGCGACCGACATTTTGTCCTTGATAACAAAATAAAATGCGCACTGACAAAAATAGCATTTTGAAATATGTTACGTTTCTGATAACTTCATGTTAAACATGACAGTTACTAAACCGATAC